AAGACAAAAAGTGAAACAAACATAAAAACAGTTATTTTCTCCATCATTTCATACGCTGTAAAATCTAATTAGTTCACAGAACTCAAAAAACTAAGTAAAGCTAACTTAAGACGACTGTTAGGACAGCTTATACAGTGCAAGTCTGCAGTATTAAGAATAACTTGATATTTCTGACTGTACAATAGTAATTGTTTACTTACTGACAAACATTTCAAGTTGAACTAAATGAAAAACAATTTGTGGTAACCTGAATATGATTAAAAATAATTAACAACAACAAGTATTAAAAACACCATCTACTGTGTCTGAATGTGTGGTATTGACACTGTCAGTTTAGGCCTAAAGAGATGTGTTAAAAAAAGACCACCTAATTTAAATATCATCATTACATGCTTGTTAAAAGTAGCTTCCAATATATAAAGTTTCTAATAAGCTAAACCAGATCTAACAAATCTGTGTGAGGGAGGAGGACGGGAGTGACGTGGTATTTTCAAAACACATCTTTCATCCACACTGAGAAGCAAAATTTCCAGCTTAGTTTTTCCAAGTTAAGACAACTCAGATAAATTGAGCTGATTAGCGGCTTTTGCATAAAAAGTACTGGTTTTGATCAAAATTGAGTTCAGCCTTCTTAATATTTTTGATTAAACACAATATTAGATTTTACAGTGTAAACGTTCATTTCAGAATTAAAAAAATACAAATTGGGTTTTGCTCGTCTCGCTGTCGGCTCAGCGGTCTCAGATTCCTGCTCCTTGCTGTCACATCCCTGCAGGTAAGATGACCCAGAAAAGACATCACGCAAATAAAAACATGAAATAAATGAAGCAGAAAAGCCAGCAGAGGCCTTCAGGAGTAAAGCAGGAGGTGCATCATGACAGGAGCTGGAGATCTCTCCCACCGCCCTCTTCCTGTGTGCATGCTACAGGTGTGGACAGGTGTGTCGGGGGGGTCAGGGCTTCCGAACATCCAGTTGTCTGCAGCATCTGACCCATATACTGGGCTTCAACATCACCTTACTGCAGGCTGTAGATCT